AACAATAAGTTTTATAATTTTAAAACATGCCTGAAGCCGCCCAAATATTCCTATTTCAATTCCATAAAGTACGTTAGAGAGGTAAAGTACTTTTTTATTTCTATTAAAAAAATTGGCAAACTGTATGGGCTAGTTTTTGTTGTGTAATATTTTAAAAAATTTCAATTGAAAAAAATTAGATTGCAAAATTATTATGCAAAATCTATTAACCCATTTTAATGAAATTTGGTAGGATGTTTTACTATGTTATAAAGATTTTTTAGGTGAATTATGAAGGTCCCAAGTATCACGATTAAGAAAGGGGTTTTCCCCCTCTTTTTTGTCCTTATTGCTATTTTACAGCAAGGCTAATAAGTTAAAACATTTGCAACCAATCGTACCGTATAGAAAATTCAATTATCGGTATTTTATTTCTGTACGACTTTATTACTTTTATTTATAGTACTAAGATATTAACATTTATAGATTTTTAATTTATTCGTGGTGAAATTATAATAATAAACAAAATAGATATAAATCAAAGATTTCGAAATACCATAATATCGGCTAAAACGTGCAAAGGAGCAGATATAACAAGTGACCACAATCTAGTTCTAGCAAACATGAAACTCAAGTTAAAAAAAGTTAAAAACAACGGCCAAAACACCGAGAATCAATCTGAGAAAACTAAAAGAAACTGATATATACCAACAAATCAAAGAACAAGTGCACAAGTTCAGGAAGTAGAAAGGCAAAAGCAATTGACAGCAATAGATAAATGGAGGAAAGTAGAGAAGATCTTGAGAAATATTACAAAACAAAAACGTCAAGAAAACACATCATCTAAAAATAAACAATGGATCACATAAGAGATAAAAGAACTGATGACGGAAAGAAGGACACACAAGAATAAAAACGAACTATAGTACAAAAAAATTAATAAAATAATCAAACAGAAAATCAAAGAAGCTAAGGAACTGTGGCTATCATAAAGTGTGAAGAAATAGGAAGGTTAGATAAACAACATGACAGTTTTAACATACACCGGAAAATCAAAGAGACAGCTGGCATATACAAGAAGAAGGATGTCAGAAATATCATGGATAAAAATAACAAGATAATAACGGAATGTACAGATAAAATAAACAGATGGGAAGAATACATAAAAGAGCTATTAAAAGACGACGAGAAAATTGAGGTCATTGAACCAAGAGGAAGAAATAGACCACCAATCATCAAAGGCGAACTTGAGAAAGCGCTAAAACGTAGAAAAAATTAGAAGGCCATGGGACCAGATGAAATACTTACAGAAATCTTAACAGAACGTTAACAAACAATCATATGAGCACACTAATAGAATTATTTATTGACATTTATTATATGGGAGAGATTCCGAAAGAATGGTTAATATCAATATTCATTCCAATACCCAAAAAATCAAACACAATGAAGTGTGAAGAGCAGAGGACAATTAACTTGATGAACCACATTCTAAAAGTGTTCTTACGAGTGATACACGAACGTAGCTATAAAAAGCTAGATGATAGAATAGCTGAAAACCAATTGGGATTCAGAAAAGGCTTTGCCACCAGAGAAGCATTATTTACTGTACAAACACTAATCGAACGATGTCGAGATGTCAATTGCGACGTGTTCATATGTCTAGTCGACTTCAAAAAAGCTTTCGACAAAGAACACCTAAGAATGGCAAAAATACTGCAGAACACAGAATTAGATGAGGAAGACGTAAGAATTATTGCCAATCTATACCGATATCAGAAAGCCATAATACGAATAGACCAACAAAAATCGAAAGAAATACCTACAAATCGTGGAGTAAGACAAGGATGTGTGCTTTCCCCTTTACTTTTTATTATATATTCAGAAGAATTGTTTAAAGAGGCATTAGAAGACTCCTTGCGTACTCCTACAGTAGTCCTTACGGACAGCCGAGAGGACTACAGATCTTGGCTGATGGCATTACCCAATACTGCGAAAGGTATGGAATGGCACTGAATACAAATAAAACAAAAATCATGGTGGTAAGCAAGAACAAGACAGTGTTTATGCTAAAGGAAAACTTTTAGGCAGTATTGCAGCGTATTGAGATAGCTAGAAGTGCTTTTAATAAGATGAAAGCAATATTATGCAATGGAAAACTCAACATTGAAATTAGAACTAGAGTATTGAGAGGCTACGTGTTCTCTGTCCTGTTGTATGGAGTTGAGGCCTGGACAATTATAGAGGCGACAGAGAAAATACTCATTAACTTTGAAATGTGATGTTATCGAAGAATGTAGAAAATATTTTGGACACAACACAACAAATGCGGAAACGCTACGAAGAATGAAAAAAGATAAACAAATACTCAACACTATAAAGAAAAGAAAATGAGCTATTTTGGTAACATACTAAGAAACGAGAAATATGAATTGATGCGGCTGGTCATACAAGGGAAGGCGGAAGGCAAAAAAGGACCGGGGAGAAGACGCACGTCCTGATTGAATAATCTGAGACAATGAAGTGGGGAAACGTCAATAGAACTTTTTCTGAACGGCTGCAGATAGAGTCAAAAAATCTTCAATTTAGAAAATTAAACATGCGTGTTGGTTATGCTTAGCTGATTTGTTATACAAACTAAACTTATGTGAAGAGACTACAATCAATACAATCATTTCATTAAAAATAATCACTTCATGGAAAAGTTTTAGCTCAGAATCCCTTCAGACTTTGTTGGTTGTGGGAAAATTATTTAAAATACGGAATAATTCCTTAACATTCCCATCGTGAGTTTTTATCAGTAGAAATTTGTTTATATCTGCTTAATTCGGTTTACTCAACTGTTTATTTATATTTTACCTTGTGGTTTTAAACCAGATATGAATATCCTTGATAACGTTTTTATTATATTGATATATGCAATTAAAATGCATGAAAGTTATGTAAATTAGATACCTATTTAAATTAATGATATGTTGAACGTATTTTACTGTGTTGCAAATTATGAGATAAGAATGTATCAACCTTTTCTCTTTGGTATTATTTAGAAATATATATCTATTCTTTTTATATAATGCATATTATGATGGTATTTACATTGTTGTCAGATTTTCGTTTTTTTGGAAATCCTAAAGAATTTTATTATTTCAAAGGGAACTCCCTCTATATATAGAGTTCCCTTTGAAATAATAAAATTGCCATATTGCCTTTTGAAGTCCTTAATAAATACTGATTATTTTTCATGTAATGTTTCCTATACCTAAATGCCATATATTCGGAGTTATGGCTACAAATCAGTTGGTGGTTATCACTCCTTGGATTACGTCCTTTTTTTCGATCGGGTATCTGTATGTTCCCTTAAAAATGAAATACTTTATTATCAATCTAGGGCCAATTGTTCGAACGCTAATCAAAACTTGATTGTAATCAAATATTCAATTTTATTATTTTGTGTTATAATTGAATATAAATCATAATTAAACTCTTTTTGATGTTGATGTTATTTCATGTTTTTATTTACAAATCAATAATAATAATAAGCAATTTTTAATAATTTTGACAGCTGCTGTGACGTATTTGATTGTAATTAAATATTTGATTAAAATCATGTTTTGATTAGCGTTCGAACAATCGGCCCTTAGTGTCATAATAATTGAAAGCTATGCTGCAACAACGTCGTAAACGCCAAATCAGATTTGTCGACAAATTGAAAAAACACCTTATAATTGATTATTTTGAAAAAAATATATTTATGAGCGTAATATGATGGACTATAGGATGCATAACATTAATATTAATAAAAATAACCTTAGGTTATACAAAACAAGCAATTATGAACATATGCTATATTTTAATAAAACAACGTGTTAAATCCCCATCGGTTAAAACGTTGTTTTATAAATAAAAAATGAAGTACACGTGAAATTAAGAAACGTACATATTATTAACAAAATACTTATAAATATGTTTTATATGATGTACATATAAAAATAATATTATTCACTCTTAAGATTTTGATAGGAGCTTACATACTGTAGTGGAATATATTCGGTAATATTTAATAAATTGACATATTTCTCTTTTTTAATTGGTAGTTGTCCTTCATATGCTTCTATAAGTTCAGCAAGAGTGACTTCAGTTATAGGCGTTTTAGGTCACTTTAAAGAATAAGATGACAATGGTTGAATAGTGTTGTGGGATTTTCTTAACCATATAGTATTTGGATCACCTGAACTAATTTGTATCCACACTGACAGTTATTTTGCACTTTGGATCTTTCCTTACTACATTTTCTGCGTTGATAAAATGTTTAAAAAATGTCTGATGCATGTAGATAACTTTAAATAGGTTTTTAACTCTAGCTTTTGCAATTACATCTGTCCACTGAAACGGGATATAAACCGATGAAAGTTCTTGTTGCGTTCTATGAGGACAAAGTCTCTATCACAGGGCAGAAAGCTGTGCCCACTAGTTAGAAACTTTTGCTAAAATTGGGTGAAGTATTTTTCTAACAGTAGTAGTTGAAGTAATGTTATGACTTTCCAATTGTTATTTTGGCGGACGGTTGCTATTTATCTGACCAAATAACAATTTTTCTTTCTGGGCTTGGATCAAGACGATTGAAGTTTTCAATTATATAAAGTAGCAATGCTGATGCTATCTCAGTGGAGCCTCGATGCGCCATTACTTCTGCATGCGTTTTTAATGTCTGGGTTCAATTTGAGTTCCGCACTTGGTACGTGCATCCAGTAGAGTAGTGCAAATAAATATTATTCATAAATAAAGATATATTTTAACGATACTATGATATTTATGAAATTTAAAAAACTATTGTAATGATACTATAATATTTATGAGATTAAAAAACACTCTATTTTAATGAAAGTTTATTGGGTGTTCACTGTACAAGTGAACGAATGGAGAAACCGCCCCTGTAGTTGACCATTAAACATGCTTATATTTCTTATACTTTGCAACATCTTTTATTATTTAAATTTTTATAAAACGCATTTTATTTGCAGATATTCATCGATTTGGCATTTCTCTCAAAAACTTTGGAACCCACATTTAAAATTGAAAATTCAGATAATACATTTACAATTGCTCCAAAACTACTATCCATTAAACCTACCGTCCTAACATTCACTCTCCTTCACGTTTATTACTTCCTTGATTCTATAATTTTCGAATCAACCTGGTTGACTTCTTTTACCCACCAACAAGAAGGATGTGGATATCTGCTGGTTATGTCATACTGTACCTCTCCATTCTTCAATGCACTCTTGATGAAGTACGTCATAGAAAATAATGTAGAATTACCGACGTGGCAATTGGTAATTTGTGGACTGGTGTATGCTGTTGGATTATTCATATACAGAAAAAGTAACAATTTGAAGGGTGCTTTTAGGAAGAATCCTTACAGTCCTGGGCTATCTAGTGAGTATTATTTTGTTTTTTAATTTAGTAAACTAGCTTTTATGTTTGTAATAAGGCTGTTTTTTTTTTGGCTGCCAAGGCATTTGAAAGCGAGTTGCTAAGCTTCAACGATGATTTTTATTCCTGTTCAATTCTGATTTTCAAAACACAATTCGTTTACTATGCTCTCAATTTTGAAAAAAAAAAACTTTCGACTTGGAACCAACGAAAGATACATCAATATATCAGATTATTAATGAAATGACGTTCCGGGTGATGATTTTATTGTCAGTTCTTAACGTGAAAATAGTGAATCCTATTATTCATAAAAATTGATTGTAAACTAATATTTTAACATATATAGCGTTAACAGGCCTTTTAGGCTCATTGCTGGATGGATAATTTCTGTCGTTTTCTGTTCGTAACTGTCAGCTTCCTATCTCTGATTCTCATATCTCTGACATCTTCCACTACAACCCTCCATTTTTTTCTTAGTGTTCCTCTTTTTTTGTCCTCGGGTACAACCAATATTCTTGAATTGTCTATTACCTTGCATTCTTTCTAGATGTCCGAGCCATTCAAGTCTACGTTTTTTCACTACTTTTGTTATTGAAGGTACAGTCGGTACACTATTTCGTCTTCTCCAGTCTCCCTCTACTACTACTTCCTACATGTCTAGTCGATAAGGTACCTAAGTATGTATATTCGAATATACTCGAATTCTACAACTGATATAACAGCGTACGTTTAGTATTGGTGCTTATTCTAGAAAATAGTAACGGGCCTATTTATTCTACTAACCATTACAATTTTTTCTAGAACTGAACAATAAGGTAGACAACGGGTCCCCTTTGCGAACATTTTTTTTTACTTCGAATTCTTCTGAGACTGTACCATTGCATTTCACAACACAAATGGTTTTTCTAATTCTCATTTTTACTAATCTTACGATTTTTTCAGGTACTTGGAATTCTTTTAGCGTTTCTATTAATTTGTTTCTGTCTATTGTATCGTAGGCTGTATCTGTCTTGTAATCAATTAAAAGGACTTGTGCTGTGTTGTATTCATAGCAATTGATCAGAATTTGTTTAAACATAAAAATTTGATCGGTTGTTGATCTTCTTTTGCGAAATCCTCTCTGGTATTATCCTAGATTCTTTTTTATATATTTCTAGTCTTTTTTATCTTAGTCTAGTTTTGATTAGTATGGCGAGCTCTTTGTAGATTACGTCTAACAAGGGTATTCACTATATTTTGCTTTTCAGTTTGAAACGACAATTACAGTTTAGGGGATATATGGACAAGCAGATGAGAAATTGGAGAACTATCAAAGAAGTTATTATAAAACAATGGCTTAGCTCAAAAGAACACAGAGACCCGAAACCTCAAGCAAGAATTCGGGCTAGCCTCACTACACTAGAATTTGGCTTTAAGATAAGGGAAAAAGAGATCTTTTAACCAAAAGAATACAATATAATAAGGCAACTGAAAATCTGGAACTATAAAAAGGGTACGATAAGAGAATATACGGAAATGCCTAGGAAAATACTGAAATGGGCACCAGCTAATTTCGGAAGGAAATTAACGAAAAATAAAGTTATGAACAACCAGGAATAAAGTACTATTGATATAATAACCTGCAATAATTTTTCGTTAATTTCCTTCCGAAATTAGCTGGTGCCCATTTCAGTATTTTCTTAGGCATTTCCGTATATTCTCTTATCGTACCCTTTTTATAGTTCCAGATTTTCAGTTGCCTTATTATATTGTATTCTTTTGGTTAAAAGATCTCTTTTTCCCTTATCTTAAAGCCAAATTCTAGTGTAGTGAGGCTAGCCCGAATTCTTGCTTGAGGTTTCGGGTCTCTGTGTTCTTTTGAGCTAAGCCATTGTTTTATAATAACTTCTTTGATAGTTCTCCAATTTCTCATCTGCTTCTCCATATATCCCCTAAATATTAATTGTCGTTTCAATTGGCTGACCACAACGTGGGGCCTCTTTTTTTTTAAGAAAATGAACACATCAATAAAATGATATGCCTATAAAATTAAATGATTTAATTGCTCACCTGGGTTTTTAAATAATCACTTCGGCAGATCCGGAAGCCGGGTTTTTCAATCGAGATTCTTCATTTTATATTCTTTATCATATTTATTTATTATTCATTTCAGTTGTTCTGGTTTCTCCCTTGATGGTCGGGATTTTGTGAAAATTTTAAACCAAATCTCCAGATTTTTCTACCCGATTTTAGGACGCAAAAAGCCGGTAGAGGCTTGGGAAAAATAAACCTTGTTGTTTGAGTTGTTGGCCAAAACTGATTTTAGCCAAGCGTGTCTTGACCAACTCAGGTGTCACACCTGCACATCGCTATCGTCTATTTTCCATAAACGTTTCCTAAGCGGGATTCTGAGGGGTTTTAGGATTTTAATAATTAATTATATTAATTAATTATATGTTAGCAGTTGTGACTGCTACAAGTTCCGTTTCCCTTTTTGTGTGTAGGTATTATAATGGACTTGTTCCAGTCTTGGGGATTTCTTCGGGTCCCACGCTTCTACTATTAACTCGCGAAGTTGGTTTCGTAAAGCCTCTTCTCCATATTTAAGTTCTCTGCTATTATAATGCCGCTCTCCCTCGGGCTTTTTTTATTTTCTCTTATCTTTTATTATTTCTTCATTTTCCTCTCTTGGGATTTAGTATTTCTTCTACTAAAGGGTGTTTTTTAGAGGTATAGAAATGTAATTTGGTAACACTTTTTTAACTGTCGGCCATTTTGACAGCTGTTCAGTGATTTAGGTTACGTTTGGTTTGGCATTTCAGCATAAGTAGACTTACGCCTGAACAACGCTTCCAAATTAAACAAATTTATTTTGAAAAGTGTGGTTCTGTTCGAAATACGTATTGCGCATTACGTCCATTTTATGGTAAACATAATAGTCTATAATAGCAAGTAATTCGATTAACCATGGAAAGCTTTTGCACCACGTTTACTCTAATTGATAGTTGACAGAATAGGCATCCACAGACACGTCGTACAGTGCGTACAAAAGAACTTGTTACTGCTGTAGAGCATAACATACAGGAAGACGTAGAATCAGTCTATCTGCCATCGTGCACCATCGTGTCTATCCACTTCATGGAAGATTTTGTGGAAGATCTTGCTTAGCCTGCTTACAAAATCCAACTCATGCAAGAATTGAAGCTACACAATCACCTTGCAAGGCGTATATTCTGTGAATGGACCCAAAACTAGATTGCGTTGATCCTGATTTTCGTAAGCGAATTTTGCTTAGCGATTAAGCTCACTTTTGGTTGAATACCTACGTCAACAAATAAAAGTGCCCTATTTGAAGTTAAGATAATCCTCAAATGTATGTTGAGAAACCATTACATCCAGAAAAACTGACTGTTTGGAATGCTTTATCGTCTGTTGAAATCATTGGACCGTACTTCTTCAGAAACGATGCTGACTAGAACGTTACAGCCAATGGTGATTGCTATAGAGCCATGAATACTGCCTTTTTCATTCCCCAATTAAACAACCATGATGAGCAGTATATGTCGTTTCAATAAGACGGCGCAACATGTCACACATCTCGTGCCACAATTGATTTATTGAAGGAAACGTTTGGTAACCGCATAGTTTCACGTTTCGGACAGTGAATTGGCCTCCAAGATCGTGCGATTTAACACTGCTAGACTATTGTATGTGGCGATATGTGAAGGTGCTAGTCTAGATCCATAAGCATGAAATGATTGACCACTTGGAGGACAACATTCGCCACGTATTACCGGTATATGGCGACAGTTATTGGAAAAAGTGATCGAAAAGTGGACCTCCAGATTATATAATGTCAGAGCCAACCGTGATGGCCATATGCCAGAAATCATATTTAAAGTATAATACCAAAGGATTATCTTTCGAATAAAGTCAATTTCATGTCAATTTATAAAAATTATTTTTGTTTTATTCCATTTTTAAATTTCTATACCTGTAAAAAAACACCCGTGACTATTTGGGGTTAAAAGAAATCCTACAATATTCGTTGGTTTGAAGGACTTATGACATCACATGTCTTGCTAAAATTATTCCGATTTTATCTGTAAAATTTTTAATATACGGCAAGAAAGTTTCCTTTTGGTTCTTGTTATTTTTTTAAAAATCGTTTTATTTCTCTTGGAGCATAACTGTTCAGGATTACGGCATGTAAATCCCGATAACGATGTACTCTTGGCTCCTTGCTGTTAAATATCGTTCATATACAAATAAATACGTTATTACTGCAGCTGCTTTGCTTATGTTAGCTTTTATACATTCAGCAGCTGGATTTTAGAGATATAGGGTCCTTTTTGTTTTCTAACTCTGAAGAAATTTTACACTTAAAAAATATATTAAAATTTTATTTTCCCAGGTTTGGAAACAATTCCGACTTCTCAAGGAAAGAAGATATTAGCTTCTGGTTTATGGGGACGTATCAGACATCCAAACTATGTCGGAGATATTATCATTCATCTGGCTTGGATACCTTTTGTCTTATGCACTTTGCCACTCGTTACAATTGCTTTGACAATCTTAATTTTGTTACACCGATCAATACGAGATAACTCACACTGTAAACAGAAATACGGAGCAGCATGGGACAGGTACCGCAACAGAGTTAGATATGCACTGTTGCCAAAGGTATATTAACAGAAATATGATTTTTTGCTGTTGTCATTATTTTTATGAGTTATAAAAAGGTAATTATAAAACATACAATTTCTGTAGTGAGGTTGGAATTATTATAAATAAAAATGTTTTGTTTAGTGTGTATGTGAGTTTAGCAGAATAATAAAAAAAATCTGTACGAGTGATTTATTAAGGTACAAAAATGGCAATTTTATATTTTTATATGAACAAAATTTCTGATTTTGTGAATGTTTTAATACATTAAACGAAAAGAATCTAATATTGCGAATTTGAAGTCAAAATTTTAATTTTTGACTCAGTTGCCATAACCTTACTTCATTTTAAAAGGATCTAAGAATACCATGAACTGTAATTATTTGGATTGTTATATAATCTATACGGATTTTTGCTGAAAATGTTCAGTTTGACTTGTGATCTTTTTAGATCCATCAATTATAAAAATATATTATTTGTGTAATAGAATGGTAAATGATTTTAGTTTACCTATTATCTTATGTATTATTATAATGACAATAGTATTTTGCAGTAAATTTGGTATGTTACATATCTTAAGAGCTCAGATCTTATTTTAAATTTATCTTGTGCAAACACGTAATTAGTAAAATAATGATCGCTGGTGTAGCTCCATATTTAGTAAAAGGGAAATTCAAATTATTTACTGTACTTATGTTGTGTAGACATAATCTGTCCTTGGCTGTTGGAAAATTACAAGATCAAACAATTATTATTTTGTCTCTTTCTGTTGCGTCAACAATATAGTCTTTGTCCTATAATCCCCTGATGCTCAATACCGTCGGCCTAACGCAACCTTTAATTTCCACCTAGTACTTGATACTTGTGGCCTGTAACATGGCAGTGTGCATTTGTATTGCTAGGACCGTGGATATTTGCATTCTTTTTTGCAAACATTTACCTCTGTTCTATATCATATGACTGAGACTTTTATGTAGAGATCAAGGTGATGAGTGCATTGGAGAATAATTAGGGTGTTGTGATCTTCATAGATGGTGAGAAGTATTTTGTTCAAAATTCTACTTGATACCAGCACCAACTGCTTATAGCCATACTGAAAACTCTATTTCACATAAAATAACCTAAAACTAACAAGCGTTGGCGTAGTTGAGAACAGTTTTCTTTAGAGTCGCGTTACTGACCACCCCCAACGTCGTATACTTAACGTTGACGTTGAATGGTGTGCCTACTGCAACTTGATTCATGGCCCACTATATTTCCAGTCCGAAACCTTAGATGAGACAACACGTTTATGTATGTATATACTTATTAAAAAAGTTTTTTGTATTTAATAATAACTCAAATGATCACATCAGAATCAAAACAATTTATGTGCATAAAAGCAGTGCGAGATGATTAAATGCTCGGGCTATGTTGTCAATGAAGTCATGATGAGGTATCTGCTTTTGATAAAGCTCTTATGGAAAGATTAATTTCCCTTAAGGATCTTAGGACCTTTATATTAGATAAGTGATTATATTATATATAGAAACAAGAAAGCAATACAACGCTAAAATATTTTTCTGTCCTAGAAAACTGCGATATATCGGTTAGGGATCGTTGTTCGAGTCACAAGTTGTTAAAATTTTTACGAAAGATATTTTAAATTTTGTATTCATTGTATAGTAAAGTGTATCGTATCAGATAAGTAAGTTTGTTTGTACTTCTTAGTAAACAAAGGACTACTGTCATACAATGTATGTGTCAAAAAATAACTTGATAGTTGATAATTTGAATTTTCTGTAATATATACGTATATAGTAGCTTTATTGAATTATATTTTTGACATGATTTAACATTTAAAGATGAGTATGTACATTTGAACTTGTAAATGTTTTGTATGACGTGATTATTAAAAACTAATCAATTTAATTCAACTTGTGTAAAACAAACTTGTGTTTATACAGGGATTTTAATAGATATGAATCTTTTTTACTGTGTATTGTTTGAGCAATTAAATTGATTGGAAATAAAATCACTAGAGTTGTTTGTATTGGAAAAGAGCATTTTGAGTACAATTCTTTCATCTTTTTATGTTCATCTTTTTGGTCCTAATGTAGACCAAAAATTTTCATTATTCGTAGAACACTTTGAGAGGATTGTTTGTGGAGTATATTTATGTTCTCTATAGAGTTAATTATATTAGTACAATCTAAAAGATATTTCCTTTAAATTTATAAAATAGTATATATATTTTGTGTAATATTTACACGTTTAAAAATATGTATTATGATGGCACTGAATTTAAAGAATCTGCAAGTATGGTCATCAATAAGCTTGATTTAACAAAGCTTGAAAAATTAAATTTTTAAATTTAATATTGTATGAATAGTTCAATGGCAAAAAATAATTATCTCTCTATAAGTGGCACATAATATTGATTTTTTTCATATAAGGTAAAAATTATTATTTCAATTTCTAAAATATTCATCGAAGCAATATTGTAAAGATGTAGAAGGAAATGATATAGTGTAGAGGATAGATGATAGCTCAATGTTAAGATGGCTCAAAAACTGACTTCTGGAGAAGACTGAGTCGTTATCAATGAGGGAACGAATAGAAATGGGAAATAGTGATCAAAATCACATTAAATGTGGAGGAATGATCACAAGCCATAGGGACCAAATTAAAAACTGAGAATCAAAACAGAAAATTTTTCAGTTTTTCACTTCAAAGTTCATTTGCATATGCAGGGATTATTCAATAGACTCTTCGTATAAATTTATTAACTGTCGAAACCACAATAATTTGCTCATATATTTAGACCGCAGACACCATTCCGTTATAAAATATTGTAAATGGTAGGTGATAAGATATTGTCTCTCTCTCTTCAATTCTGACCTCGCGGAGAGAGTGTGGTGGTCATCGTGATGTCATGTATCGTCTGTCTCCAAAGATCTCTGTCTCTGGTCATTTCTTTTAACTCATGTATAGGTCTTTTGCATGTTCCTGTAATTTGGTAGATCCACCTTGTTGGGAATCTTCCTCAAGATCTTTGGCACTCTACCTTTCCTTGAATAGTAATTCTTTCCATGTTTTCTGTGTCTGCTCTCATAAGAAGATATTAGAAATTCACAAATTCCTCCTAAATTATGGTAACTGTGGTCCTTCAAAACATGGATAGTTTAAAATTGAATCATATTCGTTATGAACAACTAAACAAAAGAGTAGAAAAGATTATTAGCTGTACCAACATTCAGAACCTAGATAAAAGCTGGTTACCATTAAGTGCAGATTTATCAAAATGATCTGTTCAGCACCTTACAGTGTCGTACCCTCAGAAAATTTTCAAGAAAGAAATTTAAATTCTAATGTCACTTAATAATATAAGACCCACATAAAATTCTATATGATTTGAAAGCTTACTAAAAAATGTTTCCCGAAAATTTATTTATTACTGACTTTTATTTTAAAGTACAAATATAAAGTTTGATTACATTTGGGCATCAGAACTTAAATTCTACAATAGATGGTGTATTAGGACCAACAAACTAGGAGACTCGTTAATTTCTGATAAAAATAAAATCTGTATGAACTGTACAAAAATCCTGTAATAATAATCAATTATAGCCTAGAAGGGAAAATCGAAAAAATAAAAACAAGGAAGCCTCTGAAAAAGACAGAAAAAGAAGGGTGCCAAAATTGCTGGGAAAAGAATCAGGTCAGGTGTAAGTACCCTAGAAGGTGCGGAGATGAAACGTTTCTGAACTGAGGAGATGAATTACAAAGCTGCAACCAGCGGAATCAAGGAAGGAATAATCCACCCTGAGTACCGAGTATAGCTAATAGATAATGATCATCTTAGGAGACTGCAGAAAGGCGTCGAGGATCTACTCAAGGACGGGCCAGAAGTTAAATTATACAACTGCTCACATCGGTCGGGATAGCTTGAAGTAACATGTGTTGACAACACAAATGGCTAATTGAACGACTCAATCCATGGAAATGATTTGTCCAAAACTCAGATATGTATACATACCTCATACATTGCAAAAGTCTTTAAGATAATGAAGAAGATCAATCAGGCCTGTGAATGCAAGACTGTAAAGTATTTAACTGCAAGAAAGCTTTTCCAGGAAGTATCTGGACGAGTTTATGCTTGTTTGTTTCCATCAATGTAGCAGCACATTTCAAGGCCATTAACGTTTATCTATGTCCATACATTAAGAGTTTGAAACGCTCGTGACTAAAATTTAGGTATTAAATCACAAGTTTATAAAAGGATAGCTATTGTTTGGTCTATCCGTCTTACAAAACCTCATAATTTAATCTTTATATTGCTTAATATTGTGTGCTACTTTTAAATATAATTTTAGTTTTTATAATTATTTGGAAGCATTGGGTATCAAATCCAAATGTTTTGCCAATTTTGACGTTTTTGTTTTTTACACAAAGAAGTTAGTTTTGTCCAGTTTATAAAAATATTTTTTAGGCAATTTTTCTATATTACATTCTAAATTTTTAGCAATATTTTATGTAATGTCCGTTTATTTTTTCGAATGTTACTACCATAAACATGTTTTTATTTATTTGTACATGCAGAGTTTTATACATATTAGATATATTAAGATTAGATAAGGTTTCCAAAATAGCTAGGGGTAGTAATTTATCACATTGTTCAAAGCAGGAAGATATTCGTCATGAGTCAGTGGTCAATTCGCTCCGTGCAGCTGAACAGGTTTCGCCCTCTATAGGTTATTATATTATCACCATAAGATTTACACTATTGAAAACATTAATAAATCTGCAATAATAAAATCAAAAATTGATAATTAATCGTAATTATTGTCTATATCAATTATTTATATATAAGCGTCATAGTATTTATGTATTACATATAGTATATACAATAGATTTGTTGACAGTTCCAAATTTGGATATTTTTGCAAACACGTAAGTTGAATTTATATATTATAAATTTACTAACATATTTTTGAATAATATAATACCGATTTATATATATTTACAGAGTTTATCTTTATGTCTTTAATAGAATGCGCAAACTCTTTTGCAATCGTGATATTACGAATACGAATGCTGCGGTGTTATGTCTTTTCTACCCTGTTATATGGAGTTGAGGCTTGGACACTAAAACAGTTGACCATAAAAAACATCGAAGCTTTCGAGATGTGGTGCTATAGGCGCATTCTCAGAATATCATGGAT